CCAAAACTGAGTTAAACCCAATTAAATCATCCATTCACTCACTTTGCATCCTGACAAAATTACATATTGTTCTATGCCAAATGTAACAAAAAGCAGGTTACATTTGACACAGTTCGGTCTTTATCATATAATGGGTAGGTTTCTCGGCGGGATAAAGCCAACGGATAAAAACGATATCCGTTGGGGTCATATGCGGATAGAGATGCAAATATCAAAGGTCAAGTAGGGACTACTTTCAGTGTTTACAAACAAACATGGCGCCGCCCTTGTCATTCGGCGATCGAGTCAGAATTAACCATCGTGAATCTGGATAAACTAAAGGGCTATCATTATCAAAAGAACAGTCTAACATACTGAAAATCAGTGTCTAACTATGATGGAGCTAAGGCATTTTATAACTTTTGGCAACTTTTGCAAGGGCACTAGGCCCAGCCAAGCGGGATCAGAAGCCATATCTGTGCTTGTCGACCTCTGCGACTTGAAACCTTTTCCACAAATTAAAATAGTTGGATTTGGCCGAAATATGTTTAAATAGTTACCTTGTTTCGTTTTGTCGCTCTGTGTGCATCTGACTGTACTTGACGTTATGACAGGACAGATCGACTGTCAACAACGTCTGAACGTGGCCGTGACGTCTCATAGACTAGGGTTAGAGTAGCTTCCCTTTGACAAAGGGAAGTTACTCTAGCGGACAGACCGATGGATTGCCGCGAAATGCAAGTAAAAACAATTGTTGTTTTGCGTATATGTTGCTTCGCCACTGTATAGGAAACCGATTTTAGTTGGAGCTATATTGGCTACTGTCACAGTCCGACTGACACATCACTTACCCTGTGACGTAATAAATATTAATGCGCGCATTCCAGGAAAACTCGCAATGTTTCGGTAATGTTTGTGAGAGAGGGAGAGCTATTTTCAAGCACAGAATTAAAGAATGACATTATATGATAAAGAGGTTATCACGCTTGTGTGTTTAGGGATGGTAAATATCCTGTATAATTAGGAATAATCACTAATACGGTATGTATTTAGCTCGCCAAGGCTCGCTAAATACAATGTTTATTCCTAATGCAGGATATTTACCATCCCCAAACACACTCGCGTGATAACCTCTATTCATTTAGCACATATGATAATGATTGGTAATGACAGCCTTTTGTCATCGTGTACGAGCGTGACGATATGGAAGAAAACACATGTTTTTTACATAGTTCAGTGTTTATTTGGCACATATGATGATTGGTACAATAAATAGATATGAATATCGAAGGTAGTGACGTCAGCTCGATCTTCAATAGTAGCCATAGCCTGAAAGACAAAGGACCCATGATGAATATATCGGTGTACTGGATTCAGTTCCATCCAGAGACTTGCAGAGCACTACATCGAAATGACACTGAGTATCAAACATTTTTATAACACAGATCTTTGACGATTTTATACTTCGTATTTTTGTGGAAGAATGTTTCATATGTTTTTTTGCAACCAATGTGGTACGGCAAGCTTTGGGGTCAAGCTCATTGATTTCTCAACAACAAAAAACTTTAAAAAAATAACATTTGCATAGTTTTAAGATATTTTTATTTACGATGTACGTGAAGTGTGGACAGGTAAAATAGCTCATGAAGATTGCCATTATCTAAAAGAAGCAACACAAGTGATACCATCAACGTTTCCTGTTGTTTCATAATTGATCAACAATATGCTAAACTAATGAAAAATATGCTCACCGCATAAAGAAACGCGAACCATAGAAACATATAGAGAAGTGTGTACGTTAGGAAGAGATGTTTCCAATGTGTATCAGTTAATGACAAAGGCCAAGTGCCACCACAATTTGACTTTATTCTTATCACGATATGCTGTACTTGATTTCTACGAGACAAGTGGTCTCGAGTCATGTATCTATGACGTCACATGTAATGTGTTCATGAGCGTCGGTTCACGTTACATAACGGTATGTTCGTGTGTGCACTGAACCCATCTGATTTCTCTTGAGTATGAGTAATTCTTCATATATTAACCAACCTACATGGTATTCACGTTTCTTTTTGCAGTGAGTTGATATAGGCTTCAATTCATTACAAAACTATGGCTTTTCAAGGATTAAGACAGGCATTTCGAGACGTACCTTTTCCGACTCCAAGACCGGTTCCGAGGCCAAGACCGGTTCCAAGTCCCCCGTAGTAGCCGCCCATGAAGGGGCTCATGCCGTAAAGACCACCATAGCTGCCAAGTCCTCCTCCGTACAGACCTCCCATCAGTCCGTACTGCCCGCCATAGATACCCCCGTAATGTCCCAGCCCTCCGTACAGTCCTCCCAGCATTCCGTAGCCGTACGTACTACCGTGGGGGTAGCCGATGGCCCCTTTGCCGTACTTGCCGTAGCTCACAGGCTCAGCGAGGGCGGCGACAGCCAGGCAGAGAACAAGGGCGATAACCTTCATCATTTTGTTTAGGATCTGTTAAGGAAAATGACAACGCAAGGGTGTAAATCGACTTTCAAACCGTTCATGAATTAATTACGAATTCAGTAAAAAAATCAAAATAACATTATTGCACAACCTTGCATGTGAAAAACACACCATGATTAAAATTTAGTTCAACAAAATATTTCTTATGGTACTAATATTCCAACACATTTAAGCAACAACTAGTGGGAGAAAAGGGTGCAGAGAATGCAATATATTGATAATTGTAGACCTAGCCGTCTCCAAACGCAAGGGAGTGGGTCTGGTATTGAAACAAGCGGATCCTGACATGGTTAAGGCACGTAACTTATTCACACCAAACATCTTCACCTAAGGCAACTCGGCCACAAGTGACCTCTGTTATTGATTAAAAGTAGTGAACAAAATGTGACTAAAAGCGATTGGCAAAGTATCAGCTGTGGTGGTACCGACCATTTGATATTGTGGGATATTTTAAAAAATCAAAAAGACAAAATGTTCCAAAAAAATATAGAAAAAAATATTTTTCGTTGGTGTGAGTGAATGAGTTGACCACTGAATGGTCGTTACCCTCTACGATGTAGGATCTGAACCCGCGACCAACGGATCCTGACAGCTATGTGAGACTGAATGGTCGTTGCACTCTACAATGTAGGATCTGAACCAGCGACCAGCGGAACCTGACAGCTATGTGAGACTGAATAGTCGTTACCCTTTACAATGTAGGATCTGAACCCGCGACCCACGGATCCTGACAGCTATGTGAGACTGAATGGTCGTTGCACTCTACAATGTAGGATCTGAACCCGCGACAAGCGGAACCTGACAGTTATGTAACACTGAATGGTCGTTACACTCTACAATGTAGGATCTTTACCCGCGATCAACGGAACCTGGAAACTATGTAACACTGAATTGTCGTTCCACTCTCTAATGTAGGATCTGAACCAGCGACCAACGGAAACTGACACCTATGTAACATTGAATGGTCGGTACACTCCTCAATGTAGGATCTGAACCCGCGACCAATGGAACCTGACACCTATGTAACACTGAATGGTCGTTCCACTCTACAATGTAGGATCTGAACCCGCGACCAACGGAACCTGACACCTATGTAACACTGAATGGTCGTTCCACTCTACAATGTAGGATCTGAACCCGCGACCAACGGAACCTGACAGCTATGTAACACTGAATGGTCGTTACACTCTACAAAGTAGGATCTGAACCCGCGACCAATGGAACCTGACACCTATGTAACACTGAATGGTCGTTCCACTCTTCAATGTAGGATCTGAACCCGCGACCAACGGAACCTGACACCTATGTAACACTGAATGTTCGTTCCACTCTACAATGTAGGATCTGAACCCGCGACCAACGGAACCTGACAGCTATGTAACACTGAATGGTCGTTACACTCTACAATGTAGGATCTGAACCCGCGACCAATGGAACCTGACACCTATGTAACACTGAATAGTCGTTACACTCTCTAATGTAGGATCTGAACCCGCGACCAACGGAACCTAGATGCCGTTATTCTAAACAATCTCAGCGTTACTACTGTCAAAGTCTATGTTAAGGTATGGGAGCTTCGATCATCTCAGCGCTAAGATCGCTTTGTACAACGGCACCCTAGAAGCTATGTAACACTGAATATTGCAGAGTCTTCGATATCATCCTGTGGATGAACTAGTCCTCTTACCTTTGTAGTGCTGAGTTGCAGGGACAGGAGATGTGATGTACATTGGTGTGGCAGTATTTATATCCTGTGAACGTCCGCCTTCCGCTTTGAAAGAGCCCTGCAGCTAATTAGTGATGTCATTTAACAGACCAATCAGGACTCTCTTCCTTGTGGGTTTGAACGCTCCTAAGTTTTCCACATTTAATTATGTGGGATGTCCAATAGGAAAGATAAAACGATACATTTAAATTGATAAATCGTGACGTTTTTCAAAAACATATTAGTTATGAGTTTTACACTTTCAGTATTTAGTGAGTGAGTGAGTATGATTTTACGCCGTTTTTAGCCATATTCCAGCAATATCAAGGCGGGGGACACCAGATATGGGCTTCACACATTGTACCCATGTCAGGAATCGGCGTGACGAGCGAACGCTTTAACCACTAGCCTAACCGACCGCCCCCTTTCAATATTTAGAATTACCTGACTTAATATGTTCTTGATACGTAATTAAAAAAATATAACACGGGATTAACTGTGTTATTATTTAGGGGACAGTGATATGTGACTGTGGATATTATATAATTAGAGAGTGTATTGTACTGGGTTTAAAGACACTAGTGTCACAGCATTTTAATAGGGATTATATATAAAGATCGTATGGAGACTCCCTGATTTCAGCGAAGGAACTCGTTCATAATTTCACAAAGCAAATAGAGAATATAGATACTTGGATAAGGCCATACATCTTTTGGCTTTGATCCGCCGACCTTAATAATAGAAAATTCAGGAATGACGGGTTTTTTTGCTCGGTTTTCTCATACCTCATAAGTCAAAATAATCATATTATAGCCTAAAAAAAAAGAAACGCAATACGGATATGTTTGTCCATAAAAGCCAAATTAGCGGACCAAGAGGTGTAAAATGAAGAGGCTTAATGTGTTATACAGTGACAAATTTCCCGGATCAAAATGATCCCAACAAGGACATGCAAACCATTAGTCGGGAAAAACGTACGATTCGGAAACCCAGTGCATTAAAAAAGGGTCATGGAGCTGCACGTACTGTACGTGCAGCAGCACTATGAACGGTATTAAAGTGCAGGGTTTTTGATTGCCAGGCATCTGCGTCAATCGAACAGTGACAGTTCAACAATATGCAAAGATTAACAGAAGTGCAAAGAAACACTGTCATAGGCCGCTTACGGGCAGGGGAATCCCGATCAGCTGTAGCTAGCGTTTTAAATGTAGCGCCCAGCACCATCACAAGGCTATGGGATCGGTTTCAACAGCATGGGTCAACACGTGATCGGCCAAGGTCTGGACAACCAAGAGTTACCACTCCCTTCCAAGTTCGTTACATCACACTGCGCCACCTACGTGAAAGGACGACTACAGCCACCTCAACCGTATCCCAAATACCCGGACTGGGCAGAATCTCCGACCAAACCGTACGAAATCGTTTCAGAACAGCAGGTCTACGAGCAAGACGTCCTGTTCGACGCGTCATATTGAGGCGACAACATCCTCAACAACGACTGCAGTGGTTTCGTCAACACAGGGTGTGGCCTCAACTGCAATGGAGAGATGTCTGGTCCAGCGACGAATCATGATTTCTCCTCCGTCAAGGGGATGGAAGTGCACAGGTCTACAGACGTCGAGGGGAACGTTACGCCGGAAACTGCGTACAGGAAGTGGACAGGTTTGGATGACGTAGCGTAATGATGTGGGCGGTTATCTGTCATCATGGCAGGATCCAGGGCAATCTTGGCAGGACAGGTTTGGTCCTTATTCATGGCAATCTTACGGTTCAACAATACATCAACAAAATAAATTCTCCTACCACACGTCCTCCCAATTGCAGCCAACGGCAACGGTGTATTCCACATAACAACAACGTTGATGTTCTCCCTTGGTCCTCCAGATCTCCTGATTTGAACCCGATAGAGCACCTGTGGGATGAATTGGATAGACGGCTACCACAACCCCAGACGTTGCAGTAGTCGGTTTTGCGTTACAGGCCGAGTGGGCTACCATTCCTCAGGATGTGATCCGCATACTCGTCTCCTCCTTGGGCCGGAGATGTCAGGCCGCTATCGATTCCAACAGGAGGCATACGCGTTATTGATGGTAGCTGACCTTCACCTTGGACTTTTCCTCTGTATCGATTACTGAGATGACTACCATCACCGAGTGTTCTCTCCACTTCATTTTGGCTCAATACCTTGCACGGTTCCTCGTATAAATGTATTTTCCTACCTCACACAAATCTGGCTTTGCGTTGTTGTTTTTTTATGAGTATACTTATAAGGACCCAAACCAGATCACGATTTGGGCCGTTTTGCAATCTTCTGGTAGGTTATGGAAAGATGAAAGTTGTGACGAATTGGCTAAGGAGAAATAACCATTAAGTATGGGGGAAATAAGCATTGTTTATAGAGAAATAACCATTAAGTATGGGGGGAAATAAGCATTGTTTATAGAGAAATAACCATTATGTATGGGGGGAAATAAGCATTTTTATTGAGAAATAACCATTGTGTATGGGGGGAAATATGCATTGTTTATAGAGAAATAACTATTAAGTATGGGGGAAAATAAGCATTGTTTATAGAGAAATAACCATTAAGTATGGGGGGAAAATAAGCATTGTTTATGGAGAAATAACCATTGTGTATAGGGAAATAACCACGGTGTATGGAGAAATAGCCATGATGTATAGGAAAAAACCCATAGTATATATGAGAAATAACCACCGAGTATGGGGAAATAACAATCGTATATGGAAAACTTATCATTGTGTATGGAGAAATTACCACTGTTATGAACCGTTTTACAAATATATTCCATACCATGATTTCCGTGTGGGTTGGGCTACTATCGCGATTTATGATACATTGATTGATAACATGAAACGTGTAATTGAACATACGAATCCCAGGGGGCATTTTAAACAGTCAGTTTCTAATAGTTCAAAAACAGTACAAATTCCAAACATGCATGTAGCTGTCTTTCTGAGAAGTATGTGGAAAGGATCACATACTAGTGTGGGAAGAGTAATAGGAAGTACGTGTAGGTGTGATGAACTATTGACGTAAATTAAGATCTATTTGGGTCCCATCTATCAGCTGTGTAATCATTCTCTGCCTATCTCTTCGCCTAACATGTTCAAATGTAAATATCTGCATGTGTCATTTCATTTTTTTTCGAACGTTTGTACGGGTTTATTCAGGACACGAATTGGTCCCGTCGAATAGTTACAATGAAACATTCCTAAATAAAATAATACTCTAGTTTGGTTTCACAGAACATTGTGGTTTATCAAGCTGATATCGTCTCTCAACTTAACTTTGTTTCTTTATGTTTTTCGTTTTCTTTTTTCTTTTACCATCGTCCCAGACGTCTTTGTTATGGTGTATTTTCGCTTTCACATAGCATGCTTTCCGTTACCATATGCTTACTTCTGAGGGGGGCGCGGGTGGCCCAGTCGTCTAAGGCGCCGCGATTCGCTGTGCAGAGTTGCGTCCCTTGGGCACGCCAGAAACCTATGATTGTGGGTTCGAATCCCGGTTCGCCCCGATTATGTTTCTAGGTTTAGCTCAGCACCATACCCGTGCTCGTGGGTTTCACCGAAGTGGTAAACGTCTGAGACCTGCATCACTTCGAGCTTTCATCCCACATTAAGCTGACACGCCGTGATATAACTGGAATACTGTTAAAAGCGGCGTTAAACCCGACTCACTCACTCAATTACTTCTGAGTCTATGGTGAATGTGTCCTTTCTCAGAGATCGCCATGAACTTGCTGGTTTCACCAAAGAGGTAACCTACAGCACTTTCTGTGTTCCCCCAGCATCAAGCTGCAACGCCGTGATTGAACTGAAACACGGCTCGAAGTACCGTTAATCCCAACTTACTCACTCACCAACACAGAAGGAACCCTACCATGTAGACAACAGGAGTAAGGAGTATAAGCCTTGTATGTCAACATAGTCGGAATGGTAAGGGGCTAGTATTGGAATGAGTGTTGTATGTATTATAACAACAGAGCTTGGAAGCTTGAGATTTCTTCTCTGATATCTTCACCTTCAGGAAATGTTTAAACAGAAAACACCTTTTTGCATATTACATACTTCATATATGATGAGGGTGGGTGGCCCAATCGCCTGAAGCGCTGCAATTCCCTGTGCAGTGTTGCGTCCTTTGAGAAGGCCAGAAACCTGTTATCGCGGGTTTGAATCCCGGTTCGGCCCGATTATGTTTCCAGGTTTGTCGTCACCGTACCCGTGATCGTGTATACAAGTGGTTTATACTCTGACTGTCTGCTGTTTGTTTATTGTTTACTAAACCCCGTGATTCTTTTTGTGGGTGAGAGTGAAATTCCTGACAAAGACGTCAAACAACCCTCTACACCCTCCCGAGTTCTCATCGTCATAACACGCTGTAAGACACTAACATCCAAACAGTATCTAGTCGTCCCCTGCCCTATAGGCTGCGTTCTCGAAGTAATGGAAGAGAGGAAGGTCATGGGTTTGATCCCGCTAGCGTCTTGCAAAAGACGTTAAAGTATGATACTTGTTCTTACCTTGCCTGGCGCTAGGCATAAACACACACACGCACGCACGCACGCACGCACGCACACACACACACACACACACACACACACACACACACACACACACACACGTCTTGAAAAAGACGTTAAAGTATGATACTTGTTCTTACCTTGCCTGGCGCTAGGCATTAACACGCACACACACACGCGCACGCACGCACACACGTGCAATAATCTTGGATGTTAAACCCAAGTTCACCTTACCTTCACCATATTATGGATCATGTAAACGCAACGTCATTTTTGACGTTTGCCCCTACGGTCACATTTACCCCACGGAGCAAACATGGAGCATGCAAACCAGCCCGACACAGATGGGGGACGATGTCACCTGTGTACTTCCGTCTACGCCATCAGTACCTGTAGGCCATCGGCGAGCCTAATTGACAGTGACTGATTACAACACTCACGTAGGTGTGATTAGCATGGGTGAAGGTATGACATCGGTTTTTTTCAATATGCACAAGCGTCATATTTGAATGTTTTACTCAAATTTAAAGGATATTTTACATGTTTTTATAGCTAATTTTGTGTAAAGATGTCAAACAGGCGGTTTCAAATGCTCCAATGTAATATTTGAATGTTTCAATAATAGAAAGTGTTAAATCCAGTGAGGTTCATTTTGTTATGTCTAGTTTAAGTGAATGAGTGAGTGAATATTGTTTAGCCCCGCTTTCAGCTCTATTCCAGCAATATCACGTCGGGGGACAACAGAAATGAGCTTCATACATTGTACCCATGTGGGTATTGAACCCGGGTCTTCGGCGGGACGAGCGAACGATTTAACCACTAGGCTACCCCACCACCCCTGTTTCTATTTTGGAGTTTCCCCTCAATGGTGTACTATGTACCCCTCAGTATTGAGTAAGTACATGCTGCATACTCGTGAAGATCGGGTAGGAAGTCTTCAGGAACCCATACTTGTCGTAAAAAGGCGACTAACGGGATCGAGTGGTCAGGCTCGCTGCCCTGGTTGATGCATGGCATCTTATCCCAATTGCATAGATCGATGCTCATGATGTCAATCACTGGATTGTCTGAACCGATTATTTACAGACCGCCGTCATAAAGCTTGATTGCTGAGTGCGGCGTTAAGCAACAAACAAACAAAATCCTTCAGTATCCTACCAAAGTATCATTTATGTTACAAATATTTGTTTATACAAGAACCACGAGAACAAATATATTAACGACTGTATGTTTGTGAATGATGTATGAATTAAATAAACGATGAATAATATTGCTAATTATTATTAACAGTGGGAGATATAGGTATTTTGCTGTCGAAACGTTTAATAAATATCATAGTCGATAAAATAATATTTGTAATGACTGTGCATAAACTAAAAAAAGACTCTGGCTAAGAAATGACGTACACATGTTTTACGCACCAAATACAGCCATTTAACGTCACGAGAGGCACGTGACCCCCAGGGCATTTTGGGACGGGCAATGTGGAGGCGTGATTAAGTGATTACGAAGTTAAGAGGGGATATAAGTAAGCCCGATCGATCCGAAATCGATACCGCTCTCACTCTTCTGCCGTTCCAGTCAACTTGATCACAGGTAAGTTTTAAATGCTAAATTCATCTCCGGTAATTATTATCATTACGTGACATAATATAAGTTTAAGTTTTAATTTGATTAATTCAATCTGAGAAAATATTTGCATATCTCATGCAACCACTTAGTCAAAAGCAAAAGTTACGTACGTCCTCGTTGAAACTGAAGCGGAACAAATCGACATCATTGACCTCATCCTCGATTATCCAGTGAATTTTAGGTGAAGTGAAATGGGGTTTAGTGAGTGAGTGAGCATGGTTTTACGCCGCTTTTAGCAATATTCATGCAATATCACGGCGGGGGAAACCAGCAATGGAAATGGGGTTTAACGTCGCGTCCAATATTATTGCACTCACATAGCGACGTTCATATACGTGTGTGTGTGTCTGCTTGTACTTGTCCGGATTAATGCCGATTTTATAGTCCCCGCTTTATATACCCCACTCAGACACAGTATACTGCCTCCTAGCCGACAAGTCCTTGTTTTAGCCCCTTCATGCCGAGCGGTAGAATTGGTCTCCAGTAACCAATGCTTGTCGTAAAAGGCGATTACGCTTGTCGTAAGAGGCGACTAACGGGACCTTATTGTTGCATGTCTCTTTCGAAGAATTCTTTACCGTTTTGTAACCGAATATTGGGTCGGATAGATGATTAAGAAAGAACCGTCTTCACCATGAAACTTCATTTTGTCATTCAGATCAGATCATTAAAAATGATGAAGGTTATCGCCCTTGTTCTCTGTCTGGCTGTCGCCGCCCTCGCTGAGCCTGTGAGCTACGGCAAGTACAGCAAAGGTGCCATCGGCTACCCCTACGGTAGTACGTACGGCTACGGTATGCTGGGAGGAATGTACGGAGGGCTGGGACATTACGGGGGTATCTATGGCGGGCAATACGGACTGATGGGAGGTCTGTACGGAGGAGGACTTGGCAGCTATGGTGGTCTTTACGGCATGAGCCCCTTCATGGGCGGCTACTACGGGGGACTTGGAACCGGCCTTGGACTCGGAACCGGGCTTGGACTCGGAAAAGGTACGTCTCGTCTTATTATTCCTTGAAAACGCCGTAGTATCGTTATGTGTTGAAGCCTATAGATTGTTTAGGAATTTTAAGCGCATTGTCGATCAATGATAAAACAGCAGGAAACATTAATGACATCACTTGTATTACTTTTACAATATACTGGTAACTATCATGAGATATATACCGATCCACTTTACACGTACATAATGAATAAGAGCTATTCAAAAATAATATAGTCTATTATCATTGTTTTGAGTTCCCATGAGAAATCAACGGAGGTTTGCCCAAAGGCTGACATGTTACATTAGTTAAAACACATAAGACTTGCTTTCACAAAAGATTTGTTTCTAAAATACGAAGTATAACAAAAAAATCAATGTCAGAAACCTGTTTGATATTTTACGTGTGATAAGTGTACGTCTCTGGAGGTAACTAACTGTATCCAATGCACCTCTGTATTAATGGTGGATATTTTGTCTTTCAGGCTATGGCTACTATTGAAGCTCGAAATGACTTCACTCTCATCGATATTCATATCTATTTATTTTACCAATCATCATATGTGCCAAATAAACATTGAACTGTGTAAATAACCTGTGTTTTTCTTGCCATAATGTCCCGCTTGCAGAATACTTCTCGTATTGAAAATATAGCTAAATGACAAATGAGAAACTCAAGTTGTAGAAACAGTGAGTGAGTGGGGATAACGCCGCTTTTAACAGCATTCAAGTTATATCGCGGGGTGCCAGCTTCATGTGGGAGGAAAGCCCGAGGTGATACAGGCCTCAGACGTTTACCACTTCGGTGAAACCCACGAGCACAGGTGCGGACAAATCTAGAAACATAATCGGGGCGAACCGGGATTCGAACCAACAATCATAGGTTTCTGGCGTGCCCAAGGGACGCAACTCTGCACAGCGAATCGCGGCGCCTTAGACGACTTGACCACCCGTGCCCCCACTGAAGAATCAGTAATGGGTGTAGTTTCATACCACAGTCGGTACAAGTCGATATTGAAACCAAGGTGTGTAGGGTGTCAAACATGAACAAACTTCAACAAGCGTCAAAAGGTCTGAGACCCTTGAAGATCCGGGTTCGAATAGGTCTTCAGCAACCCATGCTTGCCGTAACAGGCGACTAACGGAATCGGTTGGTCAGACTCGCTGACTTAGTTGATGCATGTCATCGTATCCAAATTGCGTTGATCGATGCTCATGATGTCAATCAGTGGAATGCCTGGTCCAGACTTGTTTATCTGCAGACCGCCGTCATGTAGCTGGAATATTGCTGAGTGCGGCAACAAACAAACAATAGGTCTGAGCGTGTTGACAATGTGATTAACAGTTGACGAACATGTTGTTTATGCTTGTGTCCCACTGATTGGATGTTTTTTTATGAAACTGGAAAACTGGACTCTTAAAAGCAATGAAAAGTGCAAAATCAAAGGTGATGGAAAACGCTACGCAATACACACGCCTGAACGCAACCAGTGGTTTAGTTCATGCCCGTGCAACATTGCAAAACATGACAAGTAACACTCAGTGTGGGTATAAATGGTTCATTCTGTCTGACCTGCACGCTAGGAAGTGCAGGTAAGTGCAGCGATAAGTTCCTAAGCCCAATGTATCTTTTGAAGCAAACGTTCCAGTATTTCTTTGTGACAGTCATTTGCTGATGAATATTTTCTTGGCATCTGAAGCCTCCACTGGTCTTCTTGGCACTCTTCTGCCTCGAAGGTGTCTTCGTGAGTCATTTGCCACAGAATACTGTCGTAACTGCGTTATGGCATCAAGGAGCCCTACCTACAGTTTCTTGTTCCGCGCCGTCATGGTCAAGGTAAGCCATGAATCTACAACTCGCCTGGTCAGCCAAGGGTCATTTAAGTCAAGGAGTGCTTGGTCTATCGGCCGTTACTCCGAACCGTCTGCATAAGCATTCGTGTACCGGCCCATACACACAAGGAATTAACACAACACCAGGTTTATACTCACATACTTTTACTAACGCTGCAGTCCTTCGCTCAAAATACAACTTCTAATCAAGACAGGATAGGCTCGTCACAGATTGGGAAAACGGTCGTTTGGCCTCAGTAAACTGGAAAGGACGCACTACTCTCCTAATGTTGTCTATATCATCTTAAAGTGTTCTGGCCTGTCCTGTCTTTGTCACATGTCCTAATAAGTCCTTTTTATTAGTTAAGACCATATCAGACCATGAACTTTTTTTGTGTGTCGTGATCGGAAAACTACCAGAACCTACAAACCGATTAAGATTTCTATTGATTAAAAGGTGACAACATAACCAAAACATGATGAAAATATCCTGTATCATCGCTCTATTGATGTCCTGCCTGTTTGCGCCAACTCGGCGGCTTTCTGTCTCCCTCGTGTTAAAGAAATAACCATCAATTCAAACGTTGACTTTGTTATTATTTTCTGAGGTTTTAGGGGTGGATTTTTACCACACAGCATCCTCCGCCTGTGGACAAGAGATGTCCCAAGCTCAGATGAAGTAAACACTTGCTCAGGTCTGATATATTAAATTACAACCCCAACAGACACAATAGAAACAAAACAGGATCAATGACTCCATATTTTAAATGGTAACCAATTTAAAATAATTAGTCAAAATGTACTTACATGCTAAAGAAGAAGAGAAATGATCCTATGTTACTTCGTATAACAACAAAGCATAAATATCACGGTATATTATTCAAGTACAATATAAATAGTTATGATTAATAAATGCACATGGCTAAAAAAGTGGCACCACCATTCACGAAAAGTTCACATGTCGCTGGTCCATTGAATCCACTGGCTCCTTTCTTGGTTCGAAAAGTGAATTCCTTATTGGTACGGTCTTTGTACTGAACGCTGTCCAATGTGTTTGTGGCCGTTACAGAAAAGTTATTGTCTGAATACACGGCCTGGTCGCATCACATAATGGTTCTCGCCTGGGGCATCGAAGCAAGAGGTGGACTGTTAAGCAGATTGCGAGATTGTTGACCGGTCACTGTCTGAAAATGTAGTTACATCTAGTATGTTGAATGAGAGCACCTGGAGATGTAGAGTTCGGTAGGGCTGACATATAATGATACCCCCCTGTCGCTTGAGGTCTGTTCAGCGACAGAGGTGATGGGACAGCGTTATCGTGGCTGTCATCTTGACACAGTTCGTCTTCGTGACAATCATTTGCCACTAAATATCTTCTTGGCATTTGGTTCTTAGATGGTCCTTCTTGGTACTCTTCTGCCTAAAGGGTGTCTTTTTGAAAGGCAATTGTCGTTGAATAGCTTCTTGGCATTTGAAGCCTCCAGAGTTGTTTATGCTACACTTATGCCTCCAGGGTGTCTTCGTGACAGTCAATTGCAACTGAATATCTTCTTGGCAATCAAAGCCTTCACAAGTCTTTTTGTTACTCTTATTAGTTGCTTTGTTGAATATGTTCTTAGTCTCCAGAAATGTTTCAAGTGGGGTCCCTTGTCCTGGGGAGTCTCCTGGCTGCACCTTTTGCATCCTTAGTGTCTTCTTTCAAAACAAGCAGTCAGGTACCACTGAATATCGTCATGGCAACCACTGCCTCCAAGAGGTCTTCTCGGCCTTCTTCCGTCACCATGGTGTTTCCGTGGTAGTCATTTTCCCGCATGAGAGTCGAGTAAAGAATCATAGAAGAGCAGGGATGAGTAACTTTACATATATTCACATTAGATGTAATGACAGACATACAGTTTATTAAAGTGTCATCTGAATAAGCCGATTCCAAAAATATGCAAGATAAAAAACATTACATTATTGAGCCGTTCCATACGGAAAATATACTAGCCACATGAAGAACTGTGCACGGAGAAAATATAGATATAAGGGCACACCGTCCATATATGAAATATAGGTTTGAACACAGCAATTATTGGAGACATACAAACGCTCATGCACGTGGTATGCGATATGACGTCATTGATGGGGGCCTATGGACGTGCAATGTGTTACTGCAAGTGCATCCTGTGCAGCTGTACACAGCATGTGCAACTCAAAATTCGCTGTCACTTTGGAAAGCATGATCTGTGGTCATTCAAAAATTCAAAACTTCTCAGGCGCAGACACAAGCATATCACAAGCAAATCATGCCAAGATTGACAGCTGCACAGCGTCATGAAGCCATTGGAATGATCCGAGTGGGAATGAGGCAACAACAGGTGGCAACACATTTCCAATGCCATCGTAACACGATATCGGCATTGGTGAGGCGTTATCAGAACACAAATGACGTTGCCGACCACCCACGTTCAGGACGTCCCCGAGTAACGACGCCAAGACAGGACAGATGGATTCGAGTTACACATCTCCGACACAGGTTCCAAACGGCAGTAAGGACGTCCCAGACAATTCCTGGACTGCGCCGTATCTATCCCAACACTGTCAGGAATCGTTTACGTCAGTACGGGATTCGACCACGACGCCCTGCCATACGTCCCATCCTGACACACCGTCATCGCGTCAACCGTCTAAGATGGTGTCGAAATCATGTTCGCCAACCTCGAATATGGTGGAGAAATGTTGTCTTTACAGATGAATCGAGGTTCAACATTTCCCACAGTGACGGGCGCCAACGTGTCTACCGGCGTTTGGGAGAACGTTATGCACGCAGCTGTATTGTGGAGAGGAATCGTTTTGGAGGTGGCTCTGTGATGATTTGGGGTGGGATAACAGCACGGCACCGAACCCCTTTGGTGGTTGTTCAGGGCAATCTCACCGGTGTTGGCTACAGAGATCAGATTCTGAGGCCTGTGGTCATTCCTTTCCTGCAACGTCATGGCCCGGGATTGACATTTCAACAGGACAACGCTCGTCCTCACACGGCTAGGGTCGCAATGGATTTTCTTCACCATAACAATGTCATGTTACTGCCATGGCCTGCAAATTCTCCAGATCTCTCCCCAATAGAGCATGTGTTGGATGAAATGGAGCGCCGTCTGCGTCGTCTTCCACATCCTCCAGATAACGTCCGTGACTTGGCACAGGATTTGAGGAGGATATGGCAGGCCATTCCCCAGGCCTTCCATGCCGATTTGGTGGACTCCATGCGTCGCCGATGCACTGCTGTGATTCACGCACTGGGTGGTCATACCCGTTATTGACTTTGTGACTTTGTCGTTTGACCCCCTACTCCATTTTGATCTTCTGACGTCATCGTAACAGATGTTGTTCAGGTCCCGTTGACATTTTCTTATGGTCCGATCATTCAGCTGCTACAGCGTCTGCATCATTTTGTTCTTGCTGTGTTGTATTTCAATCCAGAATATATTTTCTCCGTGCACAGTTTCTTTATGTGGGTAGTATATATAATGACTTACTTTTACTTCAATTAAAACACAGAAACTGTGTTTCTCAATACGTTTACTCAATTTTCACCTGATTTAGGGTAAGAAATAGTCCTGAAACGTCGTTACAAACAATAAAGATGTTTCTATCCATGTGTGTCGTATGTCATGTGTTATGCATATGTGATATGTGATATGTGATATATGGCATCTAGTCGAGTAGAATAAAAATCATAGGAGAGCAGAGTTGAGTAACATATATATTCACATTACATACATACCGTTTAGTAAAGTCTCATCTCAAAATCTGTTAAGAAAATATACAGGATAAAATACATTAAAATATTGAGCCGTTCCATACGGAAAAGTAACATTACGCTAACTTAAAACACAGAAGCTGTGTTACTCAATACGTCAATTCAGTATTGAATCTATTAAGGGGAAAGAAGGAGCCCCGAAGCGTCGTTTCAAACGATAAAGAAGTTTTTATCCATAGAAATCTTCATGTTCCACCAACTTATAAGGGCCCAGCAAAGACTTAACTTTGCTACAGTTACGTGAATATTAGTCAGGTATTTACAAATTGACATTATAACTTTTTTTAATATACGGATACAGCCGTGAAAGTCAGCTCATCTTAGTCTAATGCTAGGTAACAAATGTTATATTTATCAGTATATCAGTAAAGTACAGATTCTTGTACTTTTTGGGGTTGAGTTCCGTCCGAGATTCGAACCCACACCTGCCAGGGTTAGGCACCTAATCGCCAGCACACAAAGTCAGCGATCTAACCAACTCAGCCACCGAGGCTTCCACAAAAATGAAAGTCCGACAACTGGTAGTCTAGATCACGTACTTTGAGTACCCCCCTGACAAGTGTAAATTGGCACGGCTCCCATGGCCGAAAGCTATGAATACCCAATGCCATTTAGAAAGTGGTCAAATGTAACGAATGTTATATTTGGGATAACACTTTCTTAGTAAAGTACAGATTCTTGTACTTTTGGGGGTTGAGTCCCGTCCGGGATTCGAACCCACACCTGCCAGGGTGAGGCACCTAATCGCCAGCACACAGTCAGCCAACGGCAACCCAGTTATGCTCGGGGTAGTGAGTAAATTTGATTGGCCAGCAATAGTTTCGAAAACACCAGAGATTCATTTCAAAGAGTTACGCCACTTTTATAGATGTGTACTTCCTGTTCACGATGTCACGGCTTATCCATTTTTGTCTTGCATTACGTCTATTAATTACGAAAACACAAACATTGTGGTGTCGAAAAACATTTTTGAATGACTGCTTCTGATTATTTTTTTAGTCATGTCATTTGTCAGAGTGGATTGCCACAGATTGAGTGGAAACACAACAACGTCACACAACTATGTGTAAAACTATGCCATCTCATTTGAAAAGAATGGTCCGTGTAATTTATTCAGGTTTACAATTTTGATATAATCCAATTTGATAATTTCATCAATGTGTGATAAATGACTTCTAGAAGAATTAGAGTAAAGATGAATAGTTTTGGTCAGGGCTGCGGTAAAACAATTCCCAAACAGACATTTCGTTCACAACTCTTGAGACCTGCAGTGGGTACCCGGGTATGGTCGGGTAATAGGGGGTCGGATACCCGGGTGGTACATTTGTAGATGACCTAAGTAGAAATGGCAACGGATAACGCTTCTCCCCATACCCGCCTATCTCAAAATACTGCTTCAAAACAATATCGTTCATGTACGTGAATAATGTTCATACGGGGTTACACCCAACTCACTCACACCTTTAAAAACACCGGTTACGCTTGTATTACATAATTTAATTTCTACTTCATGTCAACGGATGTGCTGTGTGTGCAGGTCTTTTAATAATATGAGATAAAATTATAAAAATCAGTCGCTGGTTAATTGACAGCAAGAACACGGGGTATGACGAGGAGAGAGGTGGAAGCCAACGACTCAACAAAGGGAGACAACTCGTGTTGAAACAGTATGTCGCAACGTGCCAGTCACCACTGCATGCGCTTTGATTGGCAGAAATTATTACAATCTTATTATGTATAATCAATCATTAAATCTTCATAAATGTTCGTTGTATTTTATACTCAATAAAAGCGCAGGTAAAGAGTTGTCGTAACAAACGTGGTTCACTTTCAGTTACAACTTCCGGTATAGTTTCGTCGAAAAGACGAAGTTGACAACAGACAACAGGTCGTAAGTAAGGTCTGAGTAAGGACCATGGCGTTACAGACGCTTGCCTCTCGGGCTTTGGTCACGGTAGACAAGGACAAGAAAAATGATACCCTCAACGAAAAGAAGAAAACAGTGTTAGACGAAGACTCATACACGCAGGTAAACTGTGCCTCGAATTTCGCTCACAGGCAAAAATATACAGAATTCAGCAAGCAGCGGTAGAAATTGGCACTAGTCCTATATAGACCTTGCCGAACTGCCCAATAGTTAAGGTATCAAAAGGACGAGTAGAAATTTGCCACTTTTAAGGGTTTAGTAATATGTTATCATTATAAGGACTAGTGGACGAAAACTGTTTCTAATACTGGCAAGAGTGAATGTATCGGTCGCTGCCATATAGCGATAATTGGCTCCGATTGTGCCTCACTATACACTGGTATCGCATGCCTTTTCAGTCCTCAGGGGTAGGTTAAGTTATTCCAACAAACTGCCCTTGGCCTTAGCCTCCAAGATCTTCAGTGGTTTTAAAATCTTAAAAACAAACAAACATGTATCAAAATTCAATCGAGGTCACTAACATCCTTTATCATACATTTGGATATGAGTACATGCAAAATCAACTTCAACAAAAAATATCGACCATGGTCTAGAGGTAGAGCGTCCGCCCGGAGAGGAGCGGAAGACCCGGGGTTCGATCCATGGCCTCGTCATACCAAAAGACGTTAAAATATGGTAATTGTTGTTACCCTGTCTGGCGCTCGGCATTAAGGGGCTAAGTTTTAACAAGGACTGGTTGGCTCGGAGTTAGTATACTGTGTCTGAGTGGAGTATTCATGTTAAACTGCGGCATGGTATCTCAGTGGGCTTGCACTATAAATCGGCATCAGTCCGGACTAGTACAAGCAGACACACACACGTGCATGCACATCGCTATATAAGTGCAATAATCTTGGACGCGACGTAAAACCCAATTTCACCTCACCTCACAAAAACAAAAAATATTCTTGAAAGCTACGAGACTGCTGCTGGAAGCAAAGGAGTGCACGAATGTCTAACTTCCATTGATTGGAAATGATCCCAAAGAGGATGCCAAACCACCATTAACACCAAGGATGACTATATCACAAAGCACAATAATATGTCACTGAGCCGTGGGTCGATGCCACAGATCATCTTAATGGGTGGCATCCAAATCTGTACAAATTCATTGAGATACTGCAGATTAAGCATGTGTTGTTCATGTGTTACAAGATCTGCCAGTCCCATACAGTGTTTGATATGAGACCCACTACCACCCCACCATCCCCCAGCTTCAACAAATACAAGGGGGATTATCCCAATAGGATAACTTTTTACACTATACTTGCCCATTAAACATGTTAAACCTAGTGCAATAAATCAGCCTGTAAGAGAAGGCAATACTTGAGTCAGTGAGCATCAAATGTATGTTCCTCTGTATTTTATAGGGTATCGAGGAGATAATCACCAGAGACTTTTACCCAGATCTGCCAAATCTAAACTCGCAAGCCGAATACTATGATGCTCTTGAGAGGAACGACTTGGTGAAACTGAGAGAAATACAGATGAGGTGTAAAGATCTCCGGCCTTCCACAGGAGTGTCAAGTATTTGTAAGTTGTTTGAAAATGGTTGACATGAAGTGTTGGCTTTTTACCTGCAGTATGCATCATACATTTTGTATGTGAGTGAAGTTATCAATAAACTATCTAGACCTGCTTGAAGGCCGATATTTGCAGGGATATACCAAGAATTCCTAGCTAACTGCCCTTGCAGGCAAATTTGAAAAATATCATGACATTTTTCAAAATTGTTTTTTTTTGTTTTCTCATTTTCATAAAATCTGAGGAATTGGGAAATTGTAATTCAATTAGGGAATATTGACTGTTGTTTGCTGCAGATTTAGGGCCGGATATTGGCCTCTGAGCAGGTCTAGATAAATCCCTGAATCAGCACACAGTCTGCAGCAATATCAATACAAATTCCCAGTTTGACATGACAGATTAACTATAATCATATCTTTGAGTGGTCAACTGGTGGTTAACTTCTTTTGAGTGGTATCCTTTGAACTGTCAGTTTCTTTTATACAAATATGTGAAATATCCCCCAAATGAGCTATTTAGGGCTACAATTTGTCACCAATGTACATATTATTTGTGTTCAAGAAGTTGAATTTATTTTTGGTGATAATGCATTTGATATGTTTGACAAGCTTTGATCATGTTGATGCAGTCTCTGACTTTTGCCACTTGTCTGAAGCCGTGGTCAACATGGTCAAGTAAAATCGCTTTTTATCTCCAAGCTTTGTTCATAAATACCCATATTTCATCATTAAAAGATTTTAACCTGATTAGACATGTTAGAAACAGCATTAGAAATTGGCACTATAGTCCTTTGCAAACTGCCCAATATTTAAGGTATCATAAGGACAAGTAGAAATTTGTGTTTTTAAGGGTTTTGCTATAAGTCATCATTACAAGGACTAGTGGACTAAAACTGTTAGTTTCTAATGCTGGGAAATGTTACCAACAGTCTAGTTCAAGCCGATCAGTGCCAGTAGACGAGTTTAGAGTTGTGCATATTTTTGTTTTAGTTCTATCATAGGTTGTCATGCTTGTCATAAAAACTGAGTAAAAGCATGAAAATGTGATTGAATGGTCAATATGATCATGGTTTGTGCCTTAATATTATAGTATTTCTCATTCTCAGTTGTTGAAAGTCATATGGTGTCTTGTCACCAGTCTCCATGCTTGTCATTATATCTGACTAAGATCTTGAAAATGAGACGTTAAAAAAAAGGGAGAGAAAATTGTGACTGAAGTTTGTGTGAATGACATATAGATCTAACTAAGTTACATCAGAGATGACACCTTTGCACTGAACATGATGTTGACAGAATTAAAACCAAATAATTTTCATACATTTTTATATTTGTTGAAAGTTGGGACTGGCAAAAATTAGGGGGGACAAGGACTGGCAGTTTCAAAAGCCAGCGGGAACTCTGTGTAATGAAACCCATTACGTTGCAATCACTAAGGCAACTTGTTTACAATGACTTGTTATGCATGTTGTTGAGGCTTCCGAATCCTGATTTGTTTATTGACCGAATAAACATGCACTGGCATGCAGTGTTTGAAATGAAATAAATATCATTGCCATGCTGTCATCAGGACCCACAGACTTTATAAGTGCAGGCCCTGACTAAACTTTCCAGGCCCTCAATAATTGAGTCCAAGTTGAATGAAACCGAAATGCTTTAAATTTAAATAAGAATAGATATGAGTCCTGAACAAAACCTCCTTTGATCGTCAAAAAGAGCCAGGAAAATGGGATCGGATGGTCTGTGATTTATTGTCATAGGATTTCTCATATTCTCAGTTGTTGAAAGTCAGATGGTGTCTGAACACAGGTCTGTATGCTTGTCATTAAATCTAACAACAATAATGAAAATGGGATCGGATGTCAATATGGTCTTGGTCTGTGATGTGTTGGGATAGGAATTCTCATGTTTTCAGTACATGAAATTTATGCGTTGTCAATTGCCTTGATCATTGCTTCAGCTGATGTAGTTTCTGTCGACAGATAACTCCCCAGATACGTTTGAGACACCTGATGCATCAGCCAGGGCCCCGTCCCCCTCACAGAAGCAGCCCACAGCCGGTGACCCGAGGACAGATGAGCAGCCAGAGTTGCCGAATAATGTTGATGATGGTGGGTGTTGTTATCAGGTGATGGTGGGCGGTCGGGTAGCCTAGTGGTTAAAGCGTTCAATCGTCATGCCAAAGACCTGTGTTTGATTCCCGACATGGGTACGGTGTGTGAAGCCCATTTCTGGTGTCCCCTGCCGTGATATTGCTGGAATATTGCTAAAAGCAGCGTAAAACCATACTCACTCACTCACTATCAGGTGATGGTGGGGTTGCACATGTGTGTGGTAACACTTGCTTGTAACAGTCCAAACATACTGGTGTTTTAGTGCCAGCCCACTGAGATACCATGCTGCAGTTTAATATGAATCCCTCACTCATTCACATTATGTTGACTGTGGCAACAAGTCTTTTATTTATCCCTTGATGCCAATGACCATTCTCATTCAAATCAGATTTTAGTACTCGCTTCTGCTTAAGACCTGTGAAGATACGGGTTAGAATTGGTCTTCAGCAACCCATGCTTGTTGTAAGAGGTGACTAACAGGACCGGCTGGTCAGCCTCGGTGACTTGGTTGATGCATGTCATTGTATCCCAATTGCACAGATTGATTCTCATGTGTCAATCGCTGGATATTCTGGTCCAGACATGATAATTTACAGACTGTCGTCATATGGCGTCATTTTGCTGAGTACGATGTTAAACAACAAACAAATTCCTGAGATGGCCTAACACCGGGCAGAGTAGCCAAGCAATACAAATACATCATGTATATTACTGATACAGTGCAAAATTAACATGTATAATTGTGTTGAATGTATCGTCATGTACATGGTATGTACTATTTACTGTTGGTATGTACAAGAAGTCGCAGGCCACTTTGTCATGAATTACTACATATAGTTTTATTAGGGGACAAGTAAGAACTAAACAGGCTAGATAGTATTGTCTAGTAAAATGCTGATCATGCAATCAGCGAACAAAGTCAGCTTGTCTGTTACCATCAGGGTTTCCCCTTGTCTATTTCAAGGTTAAATATCCATTTGTTGCGACTTTGTCTAGAAATATTAAAATAAGAGAGAAGATTGTGACTGAAGTTAGTGTGAATGACATATAGATCTAACTAAGTTACATCAGAGATGACACCTTTGCACTGAACATGATGTTGAAAGAATTAAAACCAAATAATTTTCACACATTTTTTTTATTTGTTGAAAGTTGGGACTGGCAAAAATTAGGGGGGACAAGGACTGGCAGTTTCAAAAGCCAGCGGGAACTCTGTGCAATGAAACCCATTACGTTGCAATCACTAAGGCAACTTGTTTACAATGACTTGTTATGCATGTTGTTGATGCCTCCGAATCCTGATTTGTTTATTGACCGAATAAACATGCACTGGCATGGAGTGTTTGAAATAAAATATATATCATTGCCAGGCTGCCATCAGGACCCACAGACTTTATAAGTGACTAAACTTTCCAGGCCCTCAATATTTGAGTCCCAAGTTGAATGAAACTGAAATGCTTTAAATTTAAAATAAGAATAGATATGAGTCCTGAACAAAACATCCTTTACCCGTCAAACAACAGCCACGAAGAATGATTTCTTGACGATACAAAAACAGAAATCTTAGCAATTCTATAAATCCTGATAGGTTTACCGGTATGTACCCTACTCAGACACATGAGTCTTAAAGTTGGGCGCGAAAGACAAAATTGCTAAGGCAGAAGGCGATCTCTTAAAGTTCTCAATGCTATTGTTGAACCCATTCGATAGAGTGTGTCGCTGGCGGTGCCACTACCGTCAAATCCATTATACATTGTTATACAGGCAAATAGCATAACACACCATTTTATTTGAAGCAAATGCAAATGATATGAGCGGTGGAATCTGATTGGTTGATAGGAGGGACATAGAAGGGACATAAATTGTAATAGCCACTGGTGGCGCTACGAGCTGGACTTTTTAAGTCAGTTAAATCCCTTGCCTAGGGAAGATGGCAAAGCATTTGGATTAGCGTTTCAGATGTTTTGGTCATGGGCAGTCCTGAATGGAACATAATAAGATAAAAAAGACATCTTGTCATTGTTCAGGGCATCTTGACTGTGCATTTATGCGGGAACATTTGTTTTTGTGTGAATTTTCTGGTGTTCAGGCTGAATTTCCTAATTGGGGACAGAAACTGACTGACAATGGTTCATGAAGACAAGATTGGGAATGTACATGTATTATAAATTATAAAGCTGACATCTGGCCATAAAACATATCCTTCTTTTCGTTTGTGAGGTTTACGTTTGCTCAGGGTTCATTCGCATCACAAGGCTGTCTGCTTTTGAGAGTTTTTGCATCTGGAATGATAAGTATTGAAACAAATTAAAAAACTGAATATTTATGAGATTGCCATGTTCATAACAGCCACTGATTGCTATCCGGAGTAGAATAGATCTTTAGCAACCCATACTTGCCGTAAAAGGCAACTATGCTTGTCGTAAAAGGCGACTAACGGTATCGGGTGGTCAGACTTTCTGACTTGGTTGATGCATGTCATCGATCCCAATTGCGCGGATTGATGCTCATGATGTCAGCATGGTCAGTCACTGGATTGTCTGGTCCAAACTCGATTGTTTAACAGACCGTGTCATATAGCTGGAATATTGCTGAGTGCGGCGTTAAACAACAAACAAACAAAGAAAACTTGTGTTTACCTACTTGCCTACAGCATAACCATAGTTACACAGTCAAATATTGCTACTATTTGGCTGGGACACAGAGACGGGTCTCCTTTGTGCAATGTTTATCATAATTATCCCGTTTTTTCAAGTTTACCTTTTTCTCCTTCCAGATAAAAAGAAAGAATTAAGCCTGGATCGGTATCTGGCTAGGAACACCAGTGAAGACAATGCATCATTTATGGAAATTCTTAAGGAAGGCGAGCGTAAACATAGAGAAAAACATGCCTGGATGTATGACAAGGAAGAGAAACAAGAAATGGTAAATGGTTTCTTAGTGTTGGGATTGTAGGTAGCCTAGTGGTTAAACCGTTGGCTTTGCATGCCAACGGCATGGTTCCATTTCCCCACTTGGGTACAATGTGTGAAGCATTTACTTTTTTATTCAAATGGATCCAAAATAGCCCTCACTTGAAAGTTTTGTTTGTTTGTTGTTGAACGCCGTACTCAGCAATATTCCAGCTACATGATGGCAGTTGGTAAATAATTGAGTCTGCACCAGACAATCCAGTGATTAATATCACAAGCATTGATCCACGCAATTGGGATACGATGACATGCATCAACCAAGTCTGCGAACCTGACCACCTGATCCCGTTAGTTGCCTCGGACGACAAGGATAATCCCCACTTGCGTCAAGCATGGGTTGCTGAAGACCTATTCTAACACGGGTCTTGACGTGTCTCACTTGAAAGAGGATGTGGGTATCCATCCAAAAAATGGTTTTATTTCAACTCATGTTCAAGGGTGAGTGAGTGAATATGGTTTGACGCCGCTTTTAGCAATATTCCAGCAATATCACGACGGGGAAACCAGAAATGGGCTTCACACATAGTACCCATGTCAGGAATCAAACCCGGATCTTCGGCGTCATGAGCGATAGCTTTAACCACTAGGCTACCCGACCACCCCCTCAAGGATAAGCAGTAGTTTTGTACTAGTGTTCACACAAGTGTTCACTGATATGGCAGTACTGTACATGTCGACTTCTGACATCAGTGTGTATGGTGTAATGGTTCTTGTTTCAGGAACATGAGCAGAAGCTGGCCCTGCCCAGTATCGAGGAGCAGGCTATGATAGAACCTGGGAGTGGGAGAGTGGACACCTGGAAGTATAAACCCCAGAATGCCCTCATGTATGTCCCTGATGGTGAGTATGTGTTCAAAATTCCCGCTAGTCCACTGACCAGTGAAGATCTGGGGTAGAATAGGTGTTCAGCAACCCATGCTTGCCTTTTAAGGCGACTATGCTAGTCGTAAGAGGCGAATAACGGCATCGGGTGGTCAGGCTCGCTGACTTGGTTGATGTATGTCATCGATCCCAATTGCGTGGATCGATGCTCATGATATCATTCACTGGATTGTCTGGTCCAGACTCGATTATTTACAGACTGCCGTCATATAGCTGGAATATTGCTGATTGCCGCGTTAAACAACAAACCAACCAACTGCTAGTCCACTAGCCCAAGACTACTAACTCTGGTGATAGTTGTCATTGACAGGTAGCATTTGAGGACTTTTATTCTGAAAGAGTTCTTAGTGCTCCAATTTTGCTACAAATAAACTGCATAAAACTGACAGAAAATGTATACATAGCAAGAAGTTTTGTCTTGTTCAACCAGGACTAGCCACAAACTTGGAGAACTAGCAAAATCAGTATACAAATACCGAATTTCTAGGGCTGTATGTAAGTCAAGTCTCATACAATATTTGTTAAAAACTACCAGGGATGCAATATCATTACACGATCATTTACTTCAAGTTTGTTCCAATGATGTCAGGCATTCAGATTTTGTTTAGTGATCCTCTGAAGGCCTCTTAAGTCTAGATCAATTAGATATGAGGCAGTATTATCGCCCAACTTTATAAACGTTACTTTTTGAAAATTGTTACAAAATTAAAACATATATGGACACGTAAATAAGTGTATCGTGTATCATCAGGCATAACCTCAGGATGTATCTATACATCGATATAGCTTTTCTCACTCTTTCCAAAAGACACCTTGCTTGAACATGTTGAAGATTCAAGTGGAGATGCATTCTTACATTGAGAGCAGGCAATCAGAGATACCTCCCTTAGGCTTAAAAAATAAAAGAATTGGTTCTCAGGCAAAGGCTTTTGAAAATATAGTGCCGGCAGGGAAAGGGGACTCCCTTCATAAATGTATTCTTTAATGAGTAAAATACAGTATTTGACTACCAGTGGGTGCATAATACATGCATACAATGCACATAGTACATGGACATTTCCGTACAGAATGACCAGTGGGAAAAAGCGACGATATCCTCGCATGGAATATCTCTTTTTAGAATGTTTTTTTTCTCAGAAACATGGCGGAAATGATCAGTTTTCTATTTATGTATAACATGAAAGGGTTCGTTACAGTTGTGGGGGCATTGTCATTGGTGAAAGTTCAGCTTTTTCCATGTTGATTACGAACATATTAAAAATAATAACACATATTATGATTTTAATAATGGTTTTTATTCAGTAAAAGTACACAATATCGTAAAAAAACATGTTGCATCACAAAGTACTTGCATATATGCTAAATAAATCAAAATCCCGATTTTGACATATTGAAGCAATTATTTCAATTTAAGGGTTTAAGACATTATATCGAGTATTCTCTACCGGAAGCAGCGTGTCAACAAATCCGTTCTGAAGAACACTAGTTAGTCCTGTTATTACACTATCAGGCTATGGACCATCCAACCCATGGACTAGCATAGGTTGCAGGGGACCTCTTCTAACACCCTAACTGTGTTATAGTAAAGAATAATCCAAAAACAAATGTTCCTATACTGTGACCATTGTGATGAATTAGTTGTTGAGGACGAGTACCATTTTGTACTAGTCTGTTCTTATTATAGGGAAAGTAGAAATACATTCATTCCACAATATTAAAATAAATATCCTTCTCATCAATAATTAATTGAACTAATGTCCTCTACAACACATTCAACAATCAAAGGTCTTGCTTTGTATCTGAAGCGAAATTTGAAAAACACACCAAAAAAACCAAAAATAATTATGTATTAAATATTACATCACATATCATGGAATAACTGTATATCAATTGTCTAAGATCCACAAATAAATTAGATATAAATGTATTGTACTCTGGGCCACGAGGCCTCCAATACTAAAGTAAAGAATCTTGAATCTTGAATCTTGAATCTCCATGGGTTAGGTACCATGGCTCTACCTACCAATATACTACAATAGTAAATAGTATTGTGATTGGGGCGGTCAGGTAGCCCATGGTTAAAGCGTTTACTCGTCACGCTGAAGACCCGGGTTCGATTCCTGACATGGGTACAATGTGTGAAGCCCATTTCTGTAGTCCCCCGCCGTGATATTGCTGAAATATGGCTAAAAGAGGCGTAAAACCATACTCACTCAATAGTATTGTGATCATGACATTAGTTTTCTTAGCTATTGTGTTACAACATAGATAGTATACCCTCGACAGTCACCTTCATTGCTGATATGTAATGTTGATGTTTGCTCATGCTATCAACCTCTAGCATATCAAGCTTCAATTATTGAAATCATGTTCATGCTACTATGTTAGGCTTAAAAAAATAAGAGAATTGGTTCTCAAGCAATGACATTTGAAAATATAGTGAGGGTGGGCAGGCTGTGTTTTGTTTTTGCTTGTTCAAACAAATATGTAATCAAATGAACAGTTGTGTACCATCAACCTGGGATAGGACCTCCCTACATAAACAGGCATACTAACTCCTATTGCTGCCATTATCATGACACAAGATGTGCTTGGTTGGTTTTGGTTTGTTGTTTAACGCCGCACTCAGCCATATTCCAGACATATGACGGCGGTCTTTAAATAATCGTGTCTGGACCAGTCCAGTGATTAATATCATGAGCATCGATCCACGCAATTGGGATCGATGACATGCATCACCCAAGTCAGCGAGCCTGACCACCCGATCCCGTTAGTCGCCTTTTACGACAAGCATACTCACCTTTTACAGCAAGCATGGGTTGCTGAAGACCTATCCCAGAATCTTCACGGGTAAAGCAGTGCACATGTAAACATGGTAAAGGGAGGTATCTGTGTGCTATATTAGATCACATTGATTTTAAGTATTTAGGATTTGTATATTTTTTGGGGGGGAATGGAAATAATGGAAACGTGCGGCAGAGTTTATGATCATGTGGGCAGTGCCTGAGAACCAAGGCTGTCATTTTTTTAGCCTAAGATCATGAGATTTCTCCATGATGCAAAAGTTATATGTTATCAAACACCAAATCGTTTTTTGATAATGAATTCCGAAACAAAAGATTTTAAGTTTTCTATAATTACTATCATCAAAATTTGTTTTTTTATCAGGGGAATCTTTGAGTGCCAAGGAACTAATCGAGCTGCAAAAACATAAACCAAGGGAGATAATCCACGAAAACACCCGCTTCCAGTTCAACCCACACAACATTGTGAAGAGCAAACAACAGATGCAAGAGGCTGCTTCCTACAAGGCACTGGCCAATCTGGGGAAAATCGGACATGATGGAAAGGAAATTTTACCTTCCATGTCGCCAAATGTGAATGGTTATGGGTTTGTGGCGACCCCGTCTCCAGCGCCAGGGGTGGATGACTCGCCTATGATGACGTGGGGAGAGATTGAGAGTACTCCCTACAGACTTGACGGGGGAGGGACCCCACTCCCTTCTACCCCGGGGCCAGTGTTTAAGGTAAGACATAGGAGGTAGGACATGAAACTTTGCCCCTGTGCCCCAGTTGTCAATCGCATTGATATCAGGTCTTTACTTCAATACAAAACTGAATGAAGATCTGATATCACCTCTATAAGAAGTACCCTCATGTGAACCCTGATCGATTTTGACCTTTCCATTTAAAGGATGTAGTCAAACTTTATGACACATTTTGCTTAATTTCTTATCCACCCAAATTTTGATTTCAATGAAAGAAAACCACACAGATCAGAAATATTTTGGATGCCATGGTGATCAGAAACGACAGGGTGTATAACCATGATAAAATATTCAAAACAATATAATCATGATAATGGGGCTGCCTTAATTATTGACATTCAGAACTGATCATTAAGGTCTTTTTTTAAATGCAGAAATCAGATATCTTTGTCTGAATGCTTCACCCACTTGTATCGAGAATTAAAGCCTTGATGGTGACACAACCTTCTATGGAGGTGTCATCAGGTCATCACAATAGGTATCATATCGCAGTAATACATCTGGTTCTAATGGAATTCCGCTGTTGTCCATTAGCCATGCCAAGTTCACAGATTTGCCCTGATTTGTTTGTCAGTTGTTTGTGGAGAAAGATGGTGAATCAAGTCATTTACTTGAAAGGATAGTTTTGAAAACTCATGTCATTTGACTTTCTGTGTGGGGCCATAGTTACTTATGTATTTTGTTGTTCAGGCCAAACTTTTCATGTGACTTTAGAGCTTTTAGTGCTGAAAAATATGGCTGAAGTAAGAAAGTAAAATATATGCTGGTCAGTATGAATGTCTTGAAGGCATTTAAGTGTGAATAGGATCGGTCAGTGGAAATAAGAAAATAGTATGGTCTCAGAGATTCTTGTTTCAGTCAGAGCTTACTATTTTGTTGATTAATTTATTATCAATTTTTTTTTACTCTCAGCATGCTCAGCAGCATAAAGAAAGCACCTTACTGGTATTACTCCCCCCGCCAATTTTTTTGTTTGTTTCTATGGTAGGTTGATCCACAAACAAAGTAAATAACACATAATAATTTGTTGTATATTTCATGATGTCTTTCACCAGATTCCAGCAATACCAAAAAGGGATCAACTGGCACTGGAACTGGCAGAAAAAGCAAGCAAGGCTCACCGCGACAAGAAACAGAATGCAATCAAACAAGTTACCAGAAATCTTTCAAGGTACAATTTTTGTTTTGTATGTTTAGTATCCGGGTCAGAACATCTCTGCTTGGTGCAGGAAACCACTAATGATGATCGGATGATCACAATGGGTAAAGACGTGTTGTGTAGCATTGCTTATACTATTGATCACTGGTACGCCTGGTCCAGACTTGACTATTTATAGGTGAAATAGCAGAAATATATCTGACTTGGGAGGAAAACATCTATCCACAGCAACATCGTTACCATCGGCATCAAGGGGAGATAATTTGTCAGAGTTATTTCCCTTTGATTGTCACTCTAGTGAAAGCAGATGTATTTTAAATGGTCTTTGAAGAAATTTTTGTCAAAACATATCTTACAAATGTAGTTGTTATTTTCATCAATATGATCAAGGATTGCAACTTTTCAGGTGCCAAAATAGACAGATTAAAATCATGTGAACAATATCAAATCTTATGCATGTTCAGTTCAGTGGACATCATGGTCATCTATTCATTGGACTGCATGGCACAGCCTCATCAGACAGATGCAAAGGAAGTATATGTATTGTGTATCTTCAGCATGTACAGATTAGTCAACACAAACCTTCCAAGACTGAGTCCTACCTTGTATATACTCCACTGATGAAAAAACACATTAGACCGGTAAACCAAAAGAATATGACAACAATGTGCCTTATGGCTTGCTCAGAAAGCTTGCTCAATAAATAAGCCACAGTTTTAATGTCTGCACTTGTGCAATTGTGATGAAATCTGTTTTTCCCATTAAGAACCATACTATTGCTAATTTTTGATATGACAATGCTTGACTGCATACAGAACATGTAACTGCAGAATTCCTGAGGAAACCACAATGTATAGGTCCTCCAATGCCGCTCTAAATATTCAGATTTGAACCTTAACTAACACCTAGTATGGGACACCAAAGACACTGTAACAGCGTGCGCATTCCTCATTGTGTGATCTGTACTTACACATGTCTAAGGTTGTCCTGTTTGCACCGCTCATGAAGGGTCCCCCACTCAAGAAATCTGGTTACTGTATTCGACGTAATAAGTGCCCAGGGCGCTCTCAAAATTAGAAATAGGGGGCTCTTATTAGAATATTATTTTGGTGAAAAAAAACAGAGTTGAAAGATGAATTTTCGTGGTTTATGCTGGCAGCCTGAAATGTTTATGTACTACAGATATATTTTTCTAGAATATAATTGCCCATAATTAAGGGTGCATATAACACATGAGTGCGTATTGTACGCGAATAAATAAGTCTTGTGAACTCTGATCAATCGGAAGGGGTGCTTATTGGGATTGTTCACTAGCAAATATCGCAGTGGGCGCTTATTAGAGCGGGGCGCTTATTACGTCGAATACGGTATGCTTTTTTGGAGTTGCATTCTCCCTGGGGACATGATCTGCAGAGCTACAGATAAGCAGTGTATTTACGTAAAATACCCCCCCCCCCAAAATATTCAAAACCCAATTACTTTTAATTAACTTGCGTACAGAAACGCATGCATTAAAAACTAGCTAATTTAGGAAAAACAATTACTTTCTGAGTCAAGCCTATATACTTAGAACAGTTATATACATCTCAAACATTATTTCATTATTTTTTAAATTTTAAAATGTTCACTAGTTTTGGGAAAAAAACAATAGAGTGATGATAAGATGAGTGAAAAAATATTGGTTACCCAATGAAAAATGTAATAACCCAATTTAAATTGAAACCCTAGAGTAAAAACTCAATTGCTCAAAAAGTTATCTGGAGCTTTGATCTGGTTTATATGCTGGATAGCCCTAGGAAGTGTTCTTGAAATATTAGCAAATTGGTCAAGTTTACTATTAAAATGTATTATGTACACAATAACTCAACAATGTTTACTGTAGGAGGATGAAATTTGGTTTATCGTATCCTTACGTAATGCTAGAGGAGGACATTGAGAGATCCACGTTGTCACATGATGGTCAAGTTCACTGAATGGTCATTCCTAAGTTAGTTTTCATATTTTAAACAACATGCTGTGTTGAAATGTAATATTTGTAAGAGAAGCACCATTTTTAAACTAGCAGTAATCATTCATGTTATTTAGGTCAAAGTCATAGGTAGACACAGACACTAGTCCAAGACTAGTAGCTAATTGCTTTCTGCCCAAATGAAGTATATTACATAATTATATTACTATTCCGAAATGGCTTATGGACTAGTCAGATTTGTTTGTTGTCTAATGCCGAACTCAGCAAATGAATGCAGTATGTAAATAATCAAGTCTGGACCAGTCAATCCAGTGATTTATATCATGAGCATCTATCCAAGCAATTAGGATACGATAATAAACATCAACCAAGTCAGCGAGCCTGACTACCCGAACCTGTTAGTCGCCTCTTATGACGAGCATGACTTGCTGAATACAGATCTGCACGGGTTGACTAGTTAGATATGACCAGTGGTGTTTACCCCTCATTGGATAATAAAATTGGAAGTGCATAAGTTTTCTTATTAATGCAGTAAGAGCCATATGACTTTATGTTTTTAAACAATTCTGTATTTGCCCAGCAGTGCATGTTACTTATTTTTGAGATCACTATAGGACTAGGATTTTCTTGTTTAAAACAGTACTGCAATAAGCATATATTTCCCAAATCAGGAGTGATATCATTTGACTGGAAATACCTTTAGGTTCCTCATTATGTTAGCCTGGGGCAAGCGGCGGTCGGGTAGCCTAGTGGTTAAAGCGATCGCTCGTCACGCCGAAGACCCGGGTTCGATTCCTGACATGGGTACAATGTGTGAAGCCCATTTCTGGTGTCCCCCGTCGTAATATTGCTGGAATATTGCTAAAAGCGGCGTAAAACCATACTCACTCACTCACTAGCCTGGGGCAAGGGTTTAGTGGACATGCATTTCACCAAAAGGAAGGTGGTGTTATCAAACTGGATATGTATGATAGTTATGATGTTATGTTATACTGTAAATCGTGAAATTAATGCGTCTCCAAAAGAATGCAAACGCTGGCCCCAGCCAAAAATGGGACTCATTATGAATGCGACAACCCACTCCTCTCAAGCATCAGTGGATTTATATCTAAAGACAATGTCCTCTGTCAGGTTTATAGGAGAATCCTGACCTCAACCCAACCTTACATTAATCCAATCACACACCAAATAGCACCGCTTATTAGCGCTGAGGCCTCCATGGTCTAATGGTAGAGCGTCCGTCCGGAGAACGGAAGGTCTGGGGTTCGATCCCCGGCCGCGCCATACCAAAAGACGTTTTAAGATGGTACTTGTTGTTACCTGTCTGGCACTCAGCATTAAGGGGCTAAAACAAGGACTGGTCGGCTTGGAGTCAGTATACTGTGTCTGAGTGGGGTATTCATGTTAAACTGCGGCATGGTATCTCAGTGAGCTAGCACTATTAATCGGCATCAGTCCGGACTAGTACAAGCAGCCACACAAACACACACATGTACATGCACGTCGCTATATAAGTGCAATAATCTTGGATGCAATGTTAAACCCCATTTCATCTCACCTATTAGCGCTGAGTAGGTACTTCTGCTAAAAAATACATGAGCGCCCGTGTCTGCCTTTGACGCAGTTGCAAAGAACAAAGACACAGAGTTGTTTGTTTTCAGCGTATGTCTAAGTTGGTATTTCTGCTATCCAAAATGTCTTATTGTTGATATAAATGCGATGTTTAATAATGCGAGCAAAGACCACTCGCATTTTTCGCATTTAATTCATGCTCGCGTTAATTTCAAGATTTACAGTACTGACTAACCTACAGGAAAAAGATTTGTTTCAATTTAGATCTGGTTTGTTTCATGGTTAAACTGTGATACATACCTTACCGTTTTACTGCCCTTTGTTGACAGGTATTTAATGATAATTAACTTGTTCTCATCGTGATGTAGCTGCAATATTGCCAATAATATTTTCGCTCTCTCACTTATGTTGTCTGTATCCATATATTGTTGTGTACAACAAAAATCTGTCTAAAAATACACCTTTCATCGCAACACATTCAAAACAAAGCATCATGCCAACAAAAATTTCACCTTAGTATTTATGTGCTTTTCTCCATCTGAGCCTGTTACCATGGTTACAAACACAAGGAGAATCCCCATATGTGCATGCTCAGATCTATTTGAAAGCTAGGAATATTTTTGTTATTAGACATGTTAGATATGCCATTAATTTATAATTGAAAATGGCATCTACATTTCACATTAAAAGTTACTATCAACCTTGAACATCTTGAAGTCCCATTCCCCTGCTGAATTATTTTCAGTGTATGTAATTGAAAATAACATTAAAAATCGTGATTATGTAAGTTTATCTTGGTTTGTATTATCTCTATTTCAAGCATGGCTTCAGGTTAATGCTGTTATGCAAGTTTTATTTTTTCTTCTTGTAATTGCTTTGGTAAAGCCACAGTCACGCCGGATCATACGATTTCTGGATCATACGATTTCTGGATCATACGATTGCTGGCAAATTGGTCACCATAATTTCAGACATTGTGATGAAGTAGAGAAAAAGTTGTTTAATAAATGATCCTGTAATTGTTGGTGTTTTAATGCCTGTAACAATGGGGTCTGGACTATCAACAGAACAGCTGAAGGGCATCGCGGAATACAGGGATAGTCTCAAAACTTCTGTTCTGAAATATTGTCACTGTCAACATGGTCAACTGAAATAACAATTTGACTGACGGTTGTATGATCAAAACCATCTTTTTCCCAATATGAAGCTTTGATTCCGGTCTCAACTTTGTCAATGCACTTGGCCCAAGTTTCCTTACAAATACTGTCTAAACTATTTCTGATCAGTTTCTCCACATCGGATAGCTTGAATGTTGTGTTGCTTCTACCAACAACGCCCTTCACAATGCCCCAGACAAGTTCTATAGAGTTTAGGTCACAATGATAGGGTGGTGGTCTTGGGACCTCATGTCTGTATAGGCCCGTGAAGATCCGGGGTAGAATAGGTCTTCAGCTACCCATGCTTGCCGTAAAAGGCGACTATGCTTGTTGTAAAAGGCGACTAACGGGATCGGGTGGTCAGGCTCGGTGACTTGGTTGATGCATGTCATCGGTCCCAATTGCTTGGATTGATACTCATGTTGTCAATCACTGGATTGTCTGGTCCAGACTCGATTATTTACAGACCGCCGCCATATAGCTGCAATATTGCTGAGTGCGGCGTTAAACAAGAAACCAAACCAAACCAAATCATGTCCGTATGATTGTAGGGCAATGTCCACCATGTGCTCAGGCTTTGTTTTGTTGGCCTTCACAATGTCATACAACACAGGTTTGGTACTCATAGTGGGAAACAGAATAACATGTGACTCCCTTTCTGGAATTTGATGTTGGTGCCCTACTGTTTGGGTCTTGTGCGCTGTGATAGGGTGCATTGTCCATAACGATCAGCGACTTCGGAGGTAGATCCAGAACTAGTTGTTTCTCCACCCATTCCAGAAAGACTTGACTGTTTGTTTCGGGTGTGATAATTTCGGTTGTCTTTAGATTTTGCACAAAATACCAAAGCACATCCTGGAAGAAATCCGATGCGTTTACATCCTGCCTGCAGAATGATCAGTCTCTCACCTTTACTTAAAGGTAGTTTACGAGAGGTTTTCACATCTGAAGAAACCAACTGATGTTGCACGGTATGACATGCATTGACCTACGTTTGATTTAGGTAAATCACCTCATATCCCTGTTCGCAGGTAATTGTTTCTCAGAGACACTACATCCTTCCATTCACATAACACATGCCCGCTGTCGCCTGCAATTTTGTTATATCGGTACACAAAATGGTGCAAAAGTTTACACAGGCAATGCTTGGACCCAATTAAAGAAATGCTCAGTTACCATGCATTTCTTCAATAGCCGCAAAGACATAAACATGTTTTCTGAGAATAAATTCCGAATTGCATTTCTTACAAGTTCTCGTTGAAAACTATCCATCTTTTCGACTCAAGTAGGTTTTGAGATGGTCCCTTGCAGATTGCCTTCGTTGAAATGCTGGACTCTTTCCTGTAATAATTACTTCATTTTCCATTCAGAAAGGCCCAGAAGTGCTGCTGCTCGTTTTCGGTATTTTGGTTGTGCAAAAAAGAATCTTCCCCTTTCCCCTTCTGACTTGCAATAAACATAAACGTGAAATATGTAGGTTCTCAAATCATCTGTGAATTTCATCAATTTCCATATTGTAGTGATATATTGAGCTCGTTCTGTTTCTTTTATTATCTGAATTTGAAATTATTTGAATATGCAATACCAAGAACATCACTAACAAGTAACGTTGCTTTGAGAATATTTTACAGATTCTCTTTGTATATTCCGTTTAATAACTACTTAAGTAAGATACGCTTCTGATTTAGACTTTTCATTTGAAAGGCTTTCATTACAGAAGAGACATCAGTGGGTTGGCACAACACGTGCGAATGGTGGGGAGTTCTATTTACACTGCATACCTCCTTGCTGCAACAGTCATTAAAACACCAACAATTACATGATAGTTTGTCTAAACAACTTCTTCTCTACTTCATGACAATGTCTGAAATTGTGGTGACGAGTTGGTATTGGCAAGGAAACAACTTTCATGACACTTCGACGAACTGTTGTTTTCGGATTTATATTTATTTGGCATTTCATCGATATGATTTTGCAGCAAACAGACAATAGGTTTCACCAGAGATGTATATCTCTGTCAAATGTCATTGTTAAACCCCTGACCTTTCAGGTCAGGGGTATATAGTTATACCAAGGGTCCGTCCATCCGAAAACTTTGTCCTCGCGATTTCTCTTAAACCATTCAGTGGATTCATCTCAAACTTAGTACATATAATCTGTGTCATATGGAGGGAGCCAGTCAAAAGAAAAATCTTGTTTTTATTAATTTTCCATTTTTTTATGAATTTTTCAAACCCTAACCCTATCCATTATTTAATTTGAAACTACTGACACACTAGGCGGGTCGCTGGTATTAGTGAGCCATGCTCACTTTTGCCCTTGTTTGTTTAGTCTCAGGTTGTAAACATGGTCAAAATGGGGTCTCCACAGGGACATGACGTTTTTTCAAAATGTACCAGAGTTCTCCCAGCAATGCTTTGTTACCAGTGGAATGAGATGGTAGTAGGAACACCTTCAAGCACATAACATGCAACTTGGCTTGAAAACTCCCGAGGTGTGGAAAATGCAATACAAATTCATGATGTGTCATGCATGTTTACCATATTTCTCTATTCTCTATGATATAGTGCTATGTATGTGGACAGTTATAATGATTTAGTTTTCCAGGAGTGTAAAATAATATTTATAATAATACATATGTCAAGTGCATCTGATGTCTTATTTGTGGAAATTGCTTTTATTTTGCCTCCATAAAAACACATCTCTCAGTTACAAGTTAATATTTTTCATTTGTATTTTCAGCCCCTCTCCAAAGTTTGCGATGAGCACAACAGATCGTGTGAATTCTATGTCTCCAGCAGCTCAACGCTTAGTCAGCAAAAAACTGGGGATCAAAACCCACGCTGACAAAGCTTTACGGGCCAGTTACAGCCCCTCCCCCACAAGACACTCAGGGGACAGGACACCTATAAGTTTGACCCCTAGTGGAACACCGAAGTCAAGGTCAAGTACACCAAGTACAGGGTCAAGGACCCCTGGTAGTGACCCAAGGACACCTAAACGTGATGGAAGTGATATTTCATCTCTTACGGACAATCTTTTGCAATTGCCCAAGAGGCCAAAGGCTCAGGATTTCTTTTGAAGCTATGAAGGAGTTGATAAAGGCTTAACTGTGATATTTGACTTTAAATGAGTGTGTGAGTTTTCAGCAATGTCGCGGCAAGGGACTCCAAGAGGGGCTTGACACATTGTGCCCATGTAGAGACTGAAGCTTATGTCTCTGTGTGATTGGGGAATGCTTTAACCATAAGACTGTCCCACCGTCCATTTGATGTTGACCTAAGGCAGTGTATCAAATTCCCCCAAATTTCAGTCAGACAAATGGACTGGCGACATTGCAAAGTTACCAGATAAAATGTTGCCAGTCCAGTAGTTTCTAGACTAATGAACAATTATAACATAAGAATAATACTGTTTAATTTAATGTTACAGGGGTAGAAATTAACATTTTTAGCCCACGAGTCCTTATAATGATAACATATAGCAAAACCCTTTAAAATGGCAAATTTCTACTAGTCCTTATGATACCTTAACTATTGGGCAGTTTGGCAAGGACTACAGGACTAGTGCCAATTTCTAAGGCCGTGTTAGTTCTCAGAAAATAACAACCGACCATTAGGCATGCAACTTTTCAAATCTGACCATTCATTAGCAAAATAGACTGTCTCGGAATGTCGTTCAGGCAGGTATATTGAACACTGCCTGAGGTGATGATATTGTTGACATTGTTGCAGTATAATGAGACGTGAAGGGCATTTGATTGAGAGTTTGGTACAGTTTGTGAGGAACAATGATCTTCTGTTTATGTATCGTTTTAGAGTGCATGTTGATTTGTGCAAATTGTTGGTTTCTTTGTTAAAACAGGGCCTCCTTATTTCAACATGTGAGTGGGACTGGCACAGTTGTCTAAGGCAAGACATACAACATACCCATGCTCATGGGTTTTACCAAAGTGATATACATGAAAAACCTTCCCCACTTCGGCTTTCCTTTTTCGTCAAGTGTAAATGAAGTAGTTTGCAAAGTGACATAAGACTCGTGGCATAATGTGGTGTGAGTGAGTGAGTGAGTTGGGTTTAACGCCGCTTTTAACAGTATTCCAGTTATATCACGGCATGTCAGCTTAATATGGGAGGAAATCCCAAAGTGATGCAGGTCTCCGACATTAACCACTTCAGTGAAACCCACGAGCACGGGTATGGTGCTGACAAACCTAGAAACATAATCGGTGCGAACCGGGATTCAAACCCACAATCATAGGTTTCTGGCGTGCCCAACGGATGCAACTCTGCACAGCAAATCGCGGCGCCTCAGACGACTGGGCCACCCGTGCCCCCTAATGTGGTGTGATGTGGTGCAGTGGGGCGGATGTCCAAGACCTGCATCACATTGGCATTTCCTCCCACATCAAGCTGCAATGCCATGACATGACTGAAATACAGTTCAAAGCAGCATTAACCACAGTTTACTCACTCCACCTGAAGGGACTGAACTGTAACCGTGGTAACCGTGGTAACATAAAATGCTGTGAAGTTGGGAGTTCCAGGACAGATCAGTCCTGGAGAACCTGGGATGAAATCAGGTCCAGCCATGTTAACTTGGGTGTGGTAACAATCAAGACACTGTATGTATATATATATACACACACCCATCTACACAGTTCTAGAAAGGAGTGTGTATTATGTCCCTGAAAAAAAGGTATCAACAAGACAGTACTGTAATAAGATGGCAATAGAATAAATGTCCAATATAGAATGGAACAGCTCTTGAACTTGATCTATGTTATTGTGTATGTAACCGGTTTGCTGGTTCTGTGAAAAATGATTTGTGAATGAAAGTAAAGATTAACCAATGGGTGACAATAGGCAACAACAGGGACATTCTTGTGATGCTTGGGTGGGGCAGCCTTGAGGAGGGTAATCAGATTGATTTGAAATGTGAGTAACAGTGAAGATATGTGAAAAATTGAATTAAATGTGATAATTGTTGTTTGCAGTTGTTACTGTTTTGTCTCGCATGATCACTTGAGATGCTCACCAGTCTTGCTGCCCCAGGGGATTGCAATCTTTGGGTTTTGTGTACATTTGACAGAATCTATTTGGGGTCACTGGTTCATGAGCCAAAATGTTTTTCTTTCAGGGCATCCTTTGAACATGTTTAACGTCTTTGTTAATTAATTCGCTTTTTTCAAGTATTTTCAAAATCATACAGATCTAAATTATAAACATGATAAAAATAATCTTCAATTTTCCTGGTCAAGAAAATACTGGGGAAATATTATGATGCCATGTTTATCATAAACATTGTTCACTGGATATGCTGGTTATCCTGTGCAATTAGCCTCTTGTTGATAATATCACTTGAAGCTGACTGCAGCATTAATAGTGAGTGAGTGAGTTTAACGCCGCTTTTAACAGTATTCCAGTTATATCGCGGCGTGTCAGCTTAATGTGAGAGGAAAGCCCGAAGTGATGCAGGTCTCAGACGTTTACCACTTTTGGTGAAACCCACGAGCACGGGTATGTTGCTTACAAACCTAAAAACATAAGCAGCATTAATAAGAGAACAAGCAAAAATATGAAACTAGTAATAAACACAACCAAATATATCATGGTTGTGCTCTTTCGTGTTTTTAAGTGTGTTTAGCATTGTTAAGATATTATCCCTCAACTAAAGTGATGGGAAATGTATAGTGTTAAATAAGTAATGATATATCCAATTTATGGAAGAATCTACAAGCTACGAGGGATTAGGGGTTATCTGTCCCAACTGAATGGCTGGAATATGTTCCTGATGCATCTTAAACGACAAGCAGTATATTGTGTGTATGCTTCATGCTGATAGGCTAGTTCATTTCAGTGAGATTTGCTGTGCAGAGTCGCGTCCCTTGGGCACGCCAGAAACCTATGATTGTGGGTTTGAATCCCGGTTCGCCAAGATTATGTTTCTAGGTTTGTCAGCACCATACCCGTGCTCGTGGGTTTCACCGAAGTGGTAATTGTCAGATACCAGCATCGCTTCGGGCTTTCCTCCCACATTAAGCTGACATGCCGTGATATAACTGTAATACTGTTCAAAGCGGTGTTAAACACCACTCACTCACTCACTCACTCACTCACTCACTCACTCACTCACTCACTCACTCACTCACTCACTCACTCACTCACTCACTCACTCACTCACTCACTCACTCACTCACTCACTCACTCACTCACTCACTCACTCACTCACTCACTCACTCACTCACTCACTCACTCACTCACTCACTCACTCACTCACTCACTCACTCACTCACTCACTCACTCACTCACTCACTCACTCACTCACTCACTCACTCACTCACTCACTCACTCACTCACTCACTCACTCACTCACTCACTCACTCACTCACTCACTCACTCACTCACTCACTCACTCACTCACTCACTCACTCACTCACTCACTCACTCACTCACTCACTCACTCACTTACTTACTTACTTACTTACTTCAGAGAGACCCATGAGGAAGGACAAGCCTGCATATGGTCTCTGGTTGTAGCTTATCCTTGTTGAATGGCTGGAATATGTTCCTCATGCATCTTAAACGACAAGCAGTATTATGTGTGTACAATCAACATTAGAGGGACAATCAACATTATTTTGTGAGTGACAGATAATCTTTAATTCCCACTTGCAAGGACAGTGCTCAACCAGAGAACATTGCATTGTTCAACTTGATCCAACTCTTGAAAGTAAATGTTAAATGTGACAGAGATGAACAAGCCTGAATATGGTCTCAGGTATCAACTTGTCCCAGTTGAATGGCAGATTTTAATGGGACCAAGCTGAACCAAGCCTGCATGTAGTCTTTGGTTGTAACTTACCCTTGTTGAATGGCAAAGCCAACGGGGACCAAGATGAACAAGCATGCATATAGTGAGTGAGTGAGTGAGTTGGGTTTAATGCCGCTTTTAACAGTATTACAGTTATATCATGGCATGTCAGCTTAATGTGGGAGGAAAGCCCGAAGTAATTCAGGTTTCGGACGTTTACCACTTCGGTGAAACCCACGAGCACGGGTATGGTGCGAACCAGGATTCGAACCAACCCACAATCATAGGTTTCTGGCGAGCCAAAGGGACGCAACTCTGCACAGATGACTGGGCCACCCGTGCCCCACCCCACCCCTGCATGTAGTGAGTGAGTCTGGTTTTACGCCACTTTTAGCAATATTCCAGCAATATCACGGGGGGTCCTGCACAAAGTCTTTGGTAGTAACTGACCCTTGTAGAATGGCAAAGTTAACTGGGACCAAGTTGAACAAGCCTGCATATAGTCTTTGGTTGTAACTGACCCTTGTTGAATGGCAAAGTGAACTGGGATCAAGTTGAACAAGCCTGCATATAGTCTTTGGTAGTAACTGACCCTTGTTGAATGGCAAAGTTAACTGGGACCAAGTTGAACAAGCCTGCATATAGTCTTTGGTTGTAACTGACCCTTGTTGAATGGCAAAGTTAACTGGGACCAAGTTGAACAAGCCTGCATAGGGTATCTGGTTGTACATTGTCCTTGTTGAATGGCTGGAATATATTCCTTGTGCATCTCAAACGACAAGCAGTATATTGTGTGTATTACTGCTTGATGCTGATAGGCCAGTTCATTTCAATAAGACCCGAGAAGATCCGGTTAGAATACATCTTCAGCAACCCACGCTTGCCGTAAGAGGCGACTGTGGTTGTGGTTAGAGGCGACTAACGGAATCGGGTGGTCAGGTTCACTGACTTAGTTGATGCATGTGATCGAATCCCAATTTCGTAGATTGTTGCTCATGATGTCAATCACTGGATTGTCTGGTCCAGATTCGATTATACTTACCACCAAAAGAAATAAAACATAGAAACAAAGCAGTATGTACGTTAAGAAGACATGTTTCCTGAGTGTACCAATTGATGACAAAACTAACAATCTGTCAAGGTTACTACAGAGATTTTTTATTCTTAACAAGATTTGCTGGACGTGATTTCCAATTTTACAGCTAATCCTGCACCCTACAAATGGTGCATCTTGGAATCATGGTTCTATAACGTCACATGTTATGCGTTCATGAGCATCGGTTTACACAATCTATCAGTGTGTTCGGTTGTGCATCGAACCAATCTAATATCTCTTGAATATGAGTAAGTCTTCATATATTAACCAACATATATGATATTCGCGTTTCGTTTGGCGGTGAGTATATTTACAGACCGCCGTCATGTGTCTGGAATATTGCTGAGTGCGGCGTCAAACAAAAACAAACAAGCATTTCAATGAGCTCCATTGTTTTCATTCTTGGAACACAGCAAAGGAATTGTCACAAATAATTCATGATGATATCATCTATTGTTCATGACGTCGCATTCAGTTTTATATGATGTACCGCCAACGATCGATGTCTTCACATGTGATCCGGAAACCCACCATTAACTTCCTCTGAAGATAATCAATGGGTAATATATAGAACAACCTACACACTAACAAACCCAAACACATGATGTACATCGAGAACAAAACAAAATACATTATCAACACACGTAAGGAAACAGACATCATGTCCATCAACGACACACAAAAACCGATCATGCACATCAACACAGTAAATACAACAATTTTACATAAGGTTGGTTGGTTTGTTGTTTAACGTCGCAATCAGCAATATTCCAGCTATATGACGGCGGTCTGTAAATAATCGAGCCTGGACCAGACAATCCAGTGATTAATATCATGAGCATCGATCCACGCAATTGGGATCGATGACATGCATCACCCAAGTCAGGGAGCCTGACCAGCCGATCCCGTTATTCGTCTCTTAGCGTTATTCGTTATTCGATAAGCATAGTCGCCTTTTACGGCAAGCATGGGTTGCTGAAGACCTATTCTACCCCGGATCTTCACGGGTCTTTACATAAAGGATTCAGAGTGAATGGGCGTTATTTTCTTTCAGCACTGGTTTTGAACAGTTTTTAAATTAAATGAGGAAGTGTCGGCATGATGTGAGAGACAGTCTTAAGTAATGCAGATCTTAGGCAATTGCCATTTGGTGAAACCTACAGTTGTGGTGCAGACTGGGTTTCACATTCACGACCATAGGTTTCTGGCATGCTTAAGGGACATAACCTTTTAAAGCGAACTGCAGCGCCTAATATGACC